CTCAAGACACCTTTTGGGGGTGCCACACTGGCGGAACCTTTTCAGTGGACGTAGGTGCTCACCGGACCCATTTGGTCACTCAAAGAACCTGCTAGTTCTTAGCAGTTGGACTTTGAGGAAAGCCTAAAAAGGTGAGGGTTCTTTAGGCCAATAAGTTCTTCGAGGAACACCCAAAGATGCTCATTCAAAAGAAAAGGCTTCCTTCGGCATCAGAGCTGAAACGTGGTACTTGATGGAACCCAGTGAGGTAGTTAAAACTTCCTGGAGGCACTTGTAGACGATCTATGGTTCCTCCAGTAACCCCATTATATGGAAGGTTTTGTCTTGAGTGCCTTGCTATCCCATTTGCTGCTGTAGCACTGTGAATTTCCCCTTTGTGGGACTAATAAAGGATTGTCTTATCTTGAGGAGCAACGGTTCTATATAGAACCATGAACACTCAAAGAAGCATTTCCATGCTTAAATGATTCTCTGCATGGTGAAATGGTTCCAATTGATGGAGAATGTGCTGTATATGGTTCTATATGGCAACAAAAAATATTCTTCTAGTGTTACAAGCTTGACATCATAACAATAGCAGAACCCTTTTTGGTGCAACATAGAACCATTTTCAAAAAGGTTCTATAATTAACCACGTACAACACATTCTTCATCAATCTGAAGAACAATTTCATCATGCAAAGAACCTTTTAAGCATGCAAAAGGTTCTTGGAGTGTTCCTGGCTCTATACTGAGCCATTGTCTTTACTAAAGAACCCATTGAAGAACCATCTTTTTTAAGAGTGTAGGAGTATCTATGTTGGAGCCTGAATTGTTTTCCTAGTTTAGTCCATGTTTATTGATATCAGTGTGTAAAACAGTGTTGGAAACCACGTAAGGAAGTCTATTAGAGATTACTGAACACAGTGTGTGATGTTTTAGCCATGCTAATTGGTGCACTATTACCTGTTAGCTACATTAGCCTCATAGCTCCTGGAAAATGGAATCATGACTTGGTTGATCAGCTACATCTGAGTTAAGAGGAAAACTGGCAGAACCAGCGCTTTAAGCCCTGTTCTTTGTTGTTTATTTGGTTTAGTCCTGTTTGCGATTGTGCTTCGGTCTGTATTAAACCCCTGCAATGGACTTGGACTATGACTTTGCGCCAATAAACACACCACACGCTTGCGTTCTGCTTCCCTGCCTGGTGCGTTACAGTCAGTCTCTGCCTGAACTGCATGACCTGCATCATGCCAGGCTGGTTAGGTGACTCATTAGGAGAAAATGAAGGCCTTGTATTTCAAACGACCTCTCCTGCCCCAGAGCAGGACGTTTATACCAGTTGGGAAAACTAGCCGATAGTATTGCCTGGAAATCAATGCTGCTTAAGATATGACAGACCGTTCTCCATCCAAGGACGCTCCACTGAGCTGTTATTGCAGGAGAGCGAGATGGAGGCATGTTTCGTTGTTGTAGTGTTTCTGCCGTTTAAAACCAGTGGACAGTGGCTCGGGGGGCTTTTCTCTCATTTTATTAAAGTCATGTCTCCACAGCCCCTGGGGGGATTTAGGATGGCAGGCACTTTATCTCAACAGCAAAGCATGTCAGCAAATATAAACAGGAGGGTAAATGTAGGATATAGGAGAAGAGATAAAAATGACGATGTATGTTATGTAACGAGGTTTTATTCAAAATATATTTGTAAAAACAAAAACAATTGCATACATTTAGGGAGCTTTGGAAATAATTAAAAGAACTTTAAAATTTCTCAAACATCAGTTTTTGCTGGGAATTAGCACCAAGCATCATTATCTCATTATGGCCTGATTAAGCGGCAAATAATTTTGTAATTTTGTGACATCCACTCAGAAATGTTGTGACATCCACTGAGAAATTTAGCTATGTCCACTGAGAATTGCCTGCTGACAGAGTCTTGACGTCCAGAGGGAATAGAAATGCATGACTGCGGGATTTCCTGATCATTTTTCCTACGTGTAGCAGAAAAGAAGCGGCCCTATAACAGAACTTTGAGGAACTCCAAAGGAGTTTTAGATGAATTATTTCTTAATGCAACAAGAAACGGCCCTGTTTGTCCATTATGATTTAAACCATCATCAAGCTGTGCTTGAGAGGCCTATCCAGCTTTTAAGTGGATGAATCGACTTGATCAACTGATCACCTGGATCGAATGATGCACTAAGATCCAGATCCACAATCAAGATGTTTGATACATCCTTCATCCTCCTCCTCATCCCTCCTCATTGTCTGTTTTGTGCATTTGGGTGTTCAGCGGTGTCCGAAATCATAAAATATCCCCAAAATGTTCCCTGATGATAAAATACTCGAGTGTTTTAAGTGTTTCAGCAGCAAATGGGCATAATGTCTCTTTTTACGCTCATTTTGCCACCATCTCTTTTATCTCTTAGATATATTTTCCATCTTCCTAACACGCACACGCACAGACCTACCACTCACCTGCTCCCGCTCACTCTCGGATATTAGGTCTGAAGGGCAGAGAGCTTTTAACTTCCATTCTATTTTTGTGTCTTCCCCCCCCCATTCCCCTTTTCCCTCTCTTTTCTTTGCTCGTGATGTAAAAAGCCTGCGAGAGAGAGCTTTCTTAGATGGAATTTTGCCTGAAATTCACTCCTCCCTGCGTCCACCGTCATTTCATTTCATTCCTTTCAGGCCGAATAAGTTAAAACGGTAACTAGCTTAACTCGATTTGCGCCAGTATTTCAGAGCTTGCTCTGCGTCATGGTAAAAGACGTGCTCGAGCTGATTGGTCGTATTGTGTTAGTGGACGTGTCGGCCGTGGCTCCGGGTGTAAGGCGTCAATCAGTATTCGCAGTATGTGGATTTAAGGTTGTATTGTTTAAGCTCCTAAAAGCAGTGATCAGCTTTAAGCCCACCCCCCCAACCCAGCCCATAAAACCCACCTGCTCTGTATGCATATGACACACTTACAACAGCCATTAGCAGCCAAAGAGAGAGCTATAAAAACGCACCGCGCATTAAAGCTGCTTATTATAGACTGTTCTTAACCCATGCGAGTCTAGAGGCATTGTTGTTTTGATATACAATCTGCATCATTTCTATATTAATAAAGTACATTAGGCTAAAAAAGACACAAAATATGTTGCATAAACATTTTTGCCAGATGTCAGTAAACTGACTGGGTATTCCGGGTTGTTACTATAACGATAACATGATGGCAACTACATCATAAATTGTGTAATTATGTACTTTGAAAAAGCTATTTCAATGCACAATTCATTGCATAGTTAAAAGTCATTATTGTTTATTTCTTTATTTATTTTGCTATACATGCATGATTTGCATTACATATTAATGGTCATATGCAAACATTAGGGCACCATTTGTCAAATTACACGTTGATATTCTAAATAAAAAAGAAGTTAAGGTCTTAAAGTCTTAAGTTCACAACTAGGAAAATAGGTAGAAAGAGCCTAGCAAGCTCTCCTATTGGTTAGGGCTTCAGGAGCTGGACTGAAGGCCTTAGACATTCATTTTGATTTACAATGGGACCATTTTAGTGATGAAAAGAAGCGTCACTCTAGTCCTTCTGGAAGCTCTAGATACATCACTGACTTTGAATATGAGCCATCGTCTAAGCAGTGTTCCGGTTAGTTGTTAGGAATGGAAAACAGTGGCGGCAGCTCTATGTCAGGACTCTTTACTGAATCACTGTAAAACTGATACATACAAGCTCAAGTATACGCTAATGTCTTTTATAAGCTTTAAATAAAACATATAGAATGTCTTTTACATGCTTGTTTGGATGGCATGTGCATCAGCAATAGTATTAGAAATCCTATAGGGGGGGATAGCAGAAACTTTATCATAACATTAGCATTATCATAAAAGTTTGGTCTTTTAAGGCCTAACTCTAATTGTCACAGTTCACCACTGTATGGAGCTCCATCCAGTACCTTTGGGATGTGCTGGAGTGATCCAGAACTAGTCGTCCAACATCAGTACCTGAACTCACTAACACTCAAATCCTCACAGCAATGTTCCAACATCTAGTGTAAAGCCTTCCCAGAAGAGTAGAGGCTGTTACTGCAGCAAAGAGGGACAAACTCCCTGTTCATACCCTTCATTTCAAAAGAGACGCTGCAGTCTTTTGGCCAGATAGTGCACAACAAAGGCCATAAACCATCTAGTTCAAAATACAGTAAACTATGCAAACAGTAAGTAGTAGAGAGCAGAACAATAGAGAATAAATCCTTAGCAACAGTAACACTGTACAACCCCAATTCCAAAAAAATTGGGATGCTGTGTAAAATGTAAATAAATGTAGCAATGATTTCTGGAAGTGGTCCTGAGTCCATGCAGTGATTTCCAGTACAGAATCAGGCCTGTTTTGAATGCAGTGCTGCCTGAGGGCCCGAAGATCATAAGCATCCAATACTGACCGTCGGCTTTGTCCCTGGCGTACAGGGATTTCTCCAGATTGTCTGTATTTTTTGATGATGTTATGTACTGTAGATGGTGGAATATCCAAAGTCTTCATAATTTTACGTTGAGGAACTTTTTTCTGAAATTGTTCCACAATTTTTAGACACAGTTTTTCACAGGTTGGTGAACCTCTGCCCATCTTTGCCTCTGAGGGACTCTGCCTCTCTAAAATGCTCTTTTTATACCCAGTCATGTGAGGTAGTTGCAAGTTGCTCCTCCAGCTGTTTTTTATCAGTATCACTTACTTTTACAGCCTTTTGTTGCCCCTGTCCCAATTTTTTTTGAGATGTGTTGCTGCCATCAAGTTCTATGAGTTTATGTTTTTCATGAAATGACAAAACGTCTCACTTTCAACATCTGAATTTTTGGAATTTTGGCTGTAGATGTATTATTTTCGTTGACGTGGTTGAAAAGTGCTGTTAGTCCTTGTGTGTTTATTCTCTGGTTTTATTGTGAATGGTTTTCAGGAGTTTTTTTACTGTGGAAAGCCCTTTGGCCTCAGTGTCTTACTGTCTAACTCCCGCGCTCTCCTCCTGCAGGCTTTCTGAGCACTGGAGATCAGTCGGCTAAAGGGAATTACGGCCTGCTGGATCAGATCCAGGCTCTGCGCTGGCTCAATGAGAATATCGGCCATTTCGGGGGCGACCAGGAGAGGATCACTATCTTCGGCTCCGGCGCCGGGGCGTCCTGCGTCAACCTGCTTATCCTGTCCCATCACTCTGAGGGTAAGAGCCTTCATCATCATCATCATCATCAAAAACCATGCTCCGATTAGAACTTTCACCATTGTCGTTTCCATTTGCAAGGTTTTATGCTAAAACTTTTAGAGGTGATGATGATTTTAGGTGATAATATCTTACAAATATCCAAATATATGGATCATTTTACTAAATTAAGCCACTTATCCTCCTGGGATGTGGGAGGGATGCTAGAGCCTATCCCAGCGGTCATTGGGCAGAACGCAGGAAACACCCTGAACAGTTCGCCAGTCCATCACAGGGCAGACAGACAGACATACACAATCACACCTAGGGGCAACTTAGTATCTCCAACTAGCCTGACCTTATGCCTTTGGACTGTGGGAGGAAACCCACGCAGACCTGGGGAGAACATGTAAACTCCACACAGAAATGACCCTGGTCGCCCAGCCGGGGAATCAAACCCTGTTCCTTTCACAGCGCTGCCCACTGCGCCACCCCTATAGAAGTTAAGTAAAAAAAAATGAACACAACTAATTATACAGGCCTTAGATATTTACAGTGATTATGTTCTGATCTACTTAAACCCAAAGCATTAATAGAGACAGTAATGAGCTAAATATATAGATGCTTTCTATTGGGAGGTGTCTGTCCCAAACCCCAACCCCTAAATTTACACTAATGAAAATTATACACAGATTTTTAGGTTTTTTTAATGTTGTTTTGTGAAATATATTTTTCTTTTTTTCAAAGTGACATTGAAAGATTTAGATTTGTCATGAATTTAGTGGATAAATAAAAATGCAAGTCCACGTTTTCAAATCACCACCGAAACACAAAGAGTTTTTGTCTGTAGGCGGAGCCTTATTACAGCCACGCCCCTGCGTTTCAGAGCAGGAAGTGAGGCTGCATCCCTGTCCCTCTTAGCCACATGCTGAGCACTTAGATCCCATTGTTTTAAAGTAAGTCTGAAAATCAGTGTGGAACATTCAGGATCGTCATATTTTCTGCAGTTCAGTACTTTTTGTGTTTTAATGAAAAAGTAATTCATTATTTTAAGTGTGAACAGCTGTTCAAAGCTGTGTTTGCTGGTCATGTACTGGCTGTGTGTTTGAGCTAAAATTGTCACAGAAACAGTCACGACTGAAACATTCGGTCAGTTTTGGAAGTGACAAAATGAAATGTTCATTCTTTTATTTTAATAAAATAAACGTAATGAAGGTATAGGGTCACTCAGAGCAAAAGGATTTTAGTCTAAAGTCCAAAATCAGTTAAAAAACCGAAATGACTTTGAAGCAGTTCAGCAGAGTGATTTATGGGTAAGAGTGGTTAAAGAGAGTCTGAAGAGGGTTAATGGCAGCGCTGGTTTAACACGGTGCTGTAATGAGGGTAAAGCGATCACGCCTGAGTCCCGCTCAGTTAGGGAAACGTGATGAGGCTGTGTGTCAGCAAGACTGATGTATGACACGTTGGGGTGTGTATGCGTGTGTGTGTGTGTGTGTGTGTGTGTGTGTGTGTGTGTGTGTGTGTGTGTGTGAGGCTGATTTATCGTGTTATGATGAGATCACACAGGCGGCTGAGTTTGATACGGCTTTATAATGAGAAGTGCATGATAAATATGGATGTGTGTGAGACAGATTCGTAATGAGGAGCATGTAAATATGTGTGTGTGTGTGTGTGTGTGTGTGTGTGTGTGTGTGTGTGTGGAGAGAAAGAGAGAGAGAGAGAGAGAGAGAGAATGGTGCAGAAGCGTTCAGCTGCAGCTGAGCTGACTCTTAATTGATTTCATAGGGATAGGAGCAAAAGGGGGGGCAGAGTAGTGCACTGTGCGTAAGAGAGAGAGAGAGAGAGGGAGAGAGAGAGTTGGGGGGGCAGCGTTTAATAATTAATCTCAGAATCTTCAGATGGGGGACATGAAGGCACTTTACATAACGCCAGCGCTGCATGTAGATGGCCTGCCATCCTGAGCCGATGCCAACAATGATGCCAGCTCGAAAGTGGGTACAGCTGGCCCAGGCCGTCCATACTGCCGCCCTGTAGAACCCACGCCAACATTTTCACTCTACAGTTCATCCTACACATCTTAAAGGGCCCATATCATGAATAAAAGAGCTGAATTTCCTCACTTTTAAAAAAATAAGAGCTAAAATCAGAGCATACTGTTGTACCACTGCGAATGCAGTATGGTGAATGAGACATAACACAACTCACTGTTTCTGTGATGTCACAAAAACGATTCATTTACATATCCACCCATTCAGCCTACAGCAGTTTAGCTCTGCCCATTCACACAGGTTCTGTGGAGTGTTTCAGCCTGGGCTGCTAAGTGAATGGGTTAGCCAACCAGAATAGAGCTGATTTACATGTATCATTCACTATACAGTCAGTATATGGAAACTTAGCGGTTCGTTGTTTTTGTGATGTCATAAAAATGATTCATTTACATATCCGCCTATACAGCCTACAGCAGTTTAGCCCCGCCCCTTCACCCTGGTTGTGTGGAGTGTTTCAGACTGCTTTCTGAATAGGTTAGCCAATTAGAACAGAGCTCATTTACATATATCTTAAAGGTACAGTAACAAAAACTGCGTGATTAATTGTAAGAGATAAAGAGAGGTTGGAAAATGGTCATATGAAAATGAATTATGGCTATTTTTGGTACATTTTGGTACAGAAAAATTACTAAAAATGTACGCTGTGGGCCCTTTAAAGGCAAAAATGAAATCTCTTTACTAAAATAGGAGCTGAAATAAGAGCAAATCTGCAAAGCTTCAAAGTGTATCATTTTCTGTACAGTCTGTATATGGAAACTAAGCAGTTCATTGTTTTTGTGATGTCACAAAAACGATTTATTTACATATCTGCCTATTCAGCTGACAGGAGTTTATCTCCACCCATTCACACTGGTTATATGGAGAGTTTCAGTCTGGACTGCTTTTTGAGTTGGTTAGCCAACCACAACAGAGCTCATTTACATATGTCTTAAATATTCAATAACAAAAAAATCCTGTTTAATTCTAAGGGATAAAGAGAGGTTGGAAAATGGTCATGTGAAAATGAATTATGGCTATTTTTTCATACAAAAAACCACACATATGTTCATAAAAATTCCAAAAAAATGATGGCTGTGGGCCCTTTAAAGGCAAAATTAAATCTCTTTACTGAAATAGGAGCTGAAATAAGAGCAGACTGGTAAAACTTCAAGGCATATCTTTCACTGTACAGTCTATATATGTAAACTAAGCAGTTTATTGTTTTTATGATGTCACAACAATGATTGATTGACAATTGGGCGGAGCTAAACTGCAGCAGGCTAAATAGGCAGATAGCCAAAAACAATGGATTCAAAAGCAGCTTAATTTCTATGAATTCATTTTATGGGGTTTGGAATATTTCACGTTTTTGAAACAATAATATACAAATATTGGCCAGATTTACAGAATATTTACATTTGTCCCCTACACCAAATACAGTCAATCAGCCAAAACACACTTGGTGTCTTAAGTTTAATTCTATGCTGAAAAGTACAGACAGAAATCATTCTTCAGTATGAATGCTACTGTTTTAGCTGTGCTAATGTACTTATGTACATTGTACTAGATAACAGTGTGTCAGGAACCATATAATCACGACTATTAGAGATACTGAACAGCACCACACAGTTTAAGGTGGCTGTGAGATGATTTAGATGATTTAGGCCTGTCATGCTAATTGGTGTACATAAGCTTCCATTACTTGTTATCTACATTAGCCTCATAACTAACATGCCTTGGCTGATAAGTGGGAAGCTTTTTCACCAAACTATCGCTTTAATTTCCCTCAGTGTCCATCACATGTGCAGTAGTATCATGCGCCTCTGGCCTTTATGATCTGAATCCAGTCACTGGCTCATAGTCATGTGAAAGTAATTCATTTAGTCACTGATTGCGACGCTACCAGCCGAAGGCACCCAGTGGTGATGACCCCATCATGTGCGGGATATTTAAAAGGGAATTTGCGGCTGGACCCTGATATAGCCCTATTAAAATAAAAGCACTCAGCATAGAAAGTGCCTCATTATGTGTGCCGTTTTCCTCAGGACTGTTCCAGAGGGCCATCGCCCAAAGCGGCTCGGCAATCTCCAGCTGGTCCGTTAACTACCGGCCGCTCGACTACACCAAGATCCTGGCCAAGAAGGTGAGCTGAGGGGTGGGCAGTGTGGTGTGTTTTCTTTACGATTAATTTATACATTTATCGCATGCAATTCAGTTCAAGTTTATTGTCGTTAATAGTGTTATATCGATCCGATCCAGCAGAGGCACCATAAACACGATTCGTCCTCAACCTGTAGTTCAAATGCGGTTGTTTCTTAACCTGTAGTTCATTTTCTAAAGTGGAAAAATTAAAATAATTTCTGCAGCCTTGATGTTTTGACTTTGTTTGAGCTAGCCATGTTTCGTGTAAACAAATGTGTAAACTGTGAGAGTGCAGCTATTACAATTTAAGTCTGTTTGCCGTCGTTTACTGCGAGCGTCACGCCGCCAAAACCGTTTTTTTTTTCACTCGCGAGTCACATCTGAACAAAAAACGAAAGTGTCACGGAAAACCTTAACAGCATGTTCAAAACTGAGAGAAAGGATCAGCTACTCCGTGCACATTACAGTAAACTGAATTCATACTACATTCACAACACTATGAAATTGCTATTTCACATACTGTTGTGTGCAAAAGTTTTGGCACCCCAGGTCAAATCACATGCTTTGTTGATTTTCTAAGTGTAAATAGGTGAACACGTCCTCTACGGAGAACACACTGCTGTACATTTTACTATACAGTTATTGTTTATTTGCTGAATTTAACATATTGGGATGAAAATAAGTACCATAAAATGTGGCCTGTGCAAAAATTATGGCACATTTCATTTTGTATATTTACATATTTTAATGTGTTAATTTCCATAAAATATCACATTTCAATTTGTTCTCCGCACTGGATGTGTTGACTTATTTACACTTAGAAAATCAAAAAAACATGTCATTTGATGTGTTCAAACTTTTGTATATGACTGTATGTAGTCCACAAAAACAACTATGCACATATTAAAAGTGATTTTACTGTTTTATTTTAAAGTAACTGGTAGCTAAATCATGAAGTCAATAACACAATGTTAAACACAACATAAAATGGTTATTTTAAAAAGTATACAAAGAAAAAGAAACATATCAGACCAGAATGTCACATTACTGACATGAAAAATGCAATTTTACTGTAGTATTAATAAGCACACTAGCATATCTTAATGTTGTGGGGTTGTGTTATATATGGATCAAATCAGAGGGCAATAAAACTGGAAAATCCTTCGTCATTATTCATATACATAAGCAGAGTATAAGGAAATGCATTCAGTTCTCAGATAAATGACAATTTGTGCAGTACTGCAGTAGCATTTAAAGGGGAATTCCACCAATTGTTAAAAATTTCTTCATAACTGAACAGTTGAGATGTAAACAGTCATTCAGAGTGGTTTGGTGTGAAACGCTCTGTTCTAAAGAGCCAGAATTGTTCTCAGTGGTCGTGATTGGAACCAGACGTCCACTTCTAAAAGCTACTTGATGTCTGAGACATTGTTTATGATAGTTTTGCTATAATGTTTTGTCCTAAAATCCATTCATAGTGGAGGGATACATGCAGGGCGTTGTGAGGCAACATAGTCCCCAATTTTTATTTTATTTTTTTTCAGATTTATCACTGAACGTTACAAATGAAACAGACGTGTTTAGGTTCACTGGTGGTTTCGGTTGTAAATAAAATAGCTGTATTTGTTTTGCAGACATTGCGAATCTAAACCATTTCATTTTACAAATGAAAAATTGGTGGAATTCCCCTTACACATACAGTATCACAGTGGTAGCTGTTATCCTTACATAATACATGATGCACAGTTGTTATTCATTTATGATCCATATGATCAGTGCAGAACAGAACAACTGCTCTCAGAAAACACAGATTTATTGAGGCTATAAGCAACAACAGCCACTGCATAGTAACTAAATGGACAGCAGCTCATTATAATCTTCTCCTTCTGTATCGTGATGTTCTGTTTTTGCCATATCGTCCACTCTCAGGTGGGCTGCAGCTACAGCGACACGGCCGACCTGGTGGACTGTCTGCGGAGGAAGAGTTTTCGGGAGCTGGTGGATCAGGACATCCAGCCGGCGCGATATCACATCGCCTTCGGACCCGTGGTGGACGGAGACGTGGTGCCAGACGACCCCGAAATCCTCATGCAGCAGGTTTGACATCAGCCGCTCTGTATTTACTGACTCTGTAACCTTTAACTCTCACCAGTCTATAGTTTTAATGGTCACTCTGCAGTACATTTCATCTACTGTACATAATTATTTTTATATGCAATTATGCAACAGTTACTTCTGACAGTCTGATTGGTTGAAAAACATTCTAAGAGCACAGTTTCTCACCTCTCTCTCTCCTTCCACTGACTGCCGGTTGCCGGGCAACAACAATAGTCGCTGGTGGCGGAGCTAATTTTTTTGCCAGTGTTACAAGACGCATACTTAAAGGATTGTTTAGGGCTTCTTTGCTTACGTTTCTTTACTGCAAACAAATCTGAAACCTTAGTTACATAATTAATTACTTAGTCAACTACATAATTAACTCTATAAGGCTTATTATTTTGTTTATCATCAGTACTTACTATGATTTATTTAGTATCTGCTATGAATTATTAAATTTTTTAAGGAATTATTCAGAAGCTACTATGAATTATTCAGTATCTATTATGAATATTTCAGTACCTACTATGATGATTTCAGTGTCTGCTATGAACTATTCAGTATCAACTATGCATTTTTCAGTGCCTACTATGATTATTTTAGCATCTGCTATGAATTATTTAGGATATACTATGAATTATTCAGAATCTACATTAAATTATTCAGTAACAACTATAAAATATTCACAATCTACATTGAATTATTCAGTATCTACTATGAATTATTCAGTATATAATCTGTAAGTTATGTCATTTTAAGAGTGAGAAAGTGAAATGTGGACACTCTTACAGACCCTTAGCATTTAAGGCGATTAACCCTCAAAAGTATTCAATTTACAACACTTAATCATTTATTAATAACATCCATAATGAATTACATTTACATGTGATACACATTCTTTTTTGACAGGTTTGAGTCTGCACTTCTGAATTTTTTGTTTTGTTTCAGAATCAAAAAAAGGACAGTGTCAAAAATGTAAAGGATGTTTTCTATCAGATTCAAACCATAATAAAAGATCTCCTCTTCTGCTAACGAACACAGACGAGCTACGGGGTTGAAAGATTAGAATCTGCACTTTCAACACAATTTCTCCACTACTGTCAATGAGAAATAACTGATGTACAATTTCAGCGCGAGTTCTTGTTATAAATGTGTCTTTTATGGATCTAAACGCATCAGCGTGCAGCAGGAGAGCCTGCAGTTTAGTCTGAATGTGTGATTTGCTCTGTGTTTGCTCGGCTCATTTGAATGCCTGAAGGTGCCTTTGCTATTTTGACTCGAGGCATTTTTTAGTGTCATACTGAAGTTTTCCATACAGTGTCTGGTAACTGGGTCGTTGTCTGGGATGCATATGTGTCGTCCATACGCATGTTTGACTGCAGGCGCTGTTCATGTGCACAGTGTTGTGGTTAACAATATCTGGGTCATTATTTCTAATTCATATATGTTATCTATGTACAGATGACCGGAGGCAGTGTTGAAGAGTGTGATCAGGGACAGGACAGAATGAAGATTTAGGAACACTTTATTTTATGGCCGCCTACACACAGGCTTCATAACACATGCATTAGCATTGAATGATGTAGTGACACGAGTATTAGTATAAAAGTAAAAAATATTTAAAATATCTGCGTAACTCAGTGTGTGAGATGTAAACAGAGAGATTCAGAGTGGTTTGGTGTGAAATGGTTCAGATGTCTTTACAGTGGTGGTGATAGGAACCAGGGGTCGCCATGACTACAACACAAATATAGACATTTTATTTACTATCCAGAACCACCAGTGAACCTACACGAGTCTTCTGAGTTTATATGGAATGTTGATGATGGTAAAATAGTGATAAATCTGAAATAATACGTTTTCTTTGGGGACTATTTTGCCTCACAGTGCCCTGAATATTGTGTATCCCTCCACCATGAATGAATTTTAAGGCCAAAATCTTCTCAAAACTATCATAAAACAGTGTATCAGTCATCCGGCGAATTCATCCAGTGAATTCATAACCATTTCATGTAGTAACTTTCTGTGAGGAGCTTTTAGAGGTGGACGTCTGGTTTCTATCACTGCCACTGTGAACAGTTCTGACTCAGTAAGTTTCTCTAGAACAGAGCGTTTCACACCAAACCACTCTAACTAAGTTTGTTTACATCTTAACCAGTTTATTATACCGAAATTTTGAACAATCAGTGAAACTCTCCTTGGAACTAGTTACTACACCTCTCTGCTTTTTAACAAGATGCTAATCATACACGGTAGATGGAAAAATAAAACTGTGAAATGGTATGATTGGGGGTTTTTACATCATTAAAGGGGACTACTGTGCTTTTTGGGGTTTTTCTCTTTCCTTTAGTGTGTTATGTATCTTTTTGTTCATGTAAACGTTCTACAAAGCTCAGCGTTCCCTCCAGAGGGAGAAACTCTGTCCAACAAAACCCACTTTTCCCAGCTGCCTGAAACACCTTGTTGGAATTCCGGCCCTTTTCCTTTGTTACAAGATGACATCATCACGTAACACAGTCCTTAGTACCTGCCTACCGGTGAGCTCAGCTCCCTCACACTGCGCACAGCGGCTACTGGAGGAGGAGGAGTGTGTTCAGTGCTGTAGCATGTAGAGAAGACGCTGACCGGACTTTCATAAACCACTCTGGATCAAACTGATACGGCAGAACCGACGCCGCTGGAGAAACAACCACAGTGGAGTTACAGCTGCTCAGAAGAGAAGAGTCTGTCTGCAGACTGCAGGACAGGGGTGGAACATGGAGGGGCGGAACCGCTCTGAAAGATGACCAGTCAGAACAGAGTGGGCGAGCTGACCAATCGGGGCACACTGGGCTCATTGGCAGGCGGGGCTTAAAGACACAGGAGCTCTAACAGAGCGTTTCAGACAGAGTGTAAAAAGAGATGTACAGTATGAGGAAAATAATGTGTTTTTGAAACACTGAAGTGTAAATCTGTTGTAGTAGAGCCAAAAATATAGTCATGAACACTGATAATGAGCATAAAAGGTCCTCTTTAAATTGAGAAATGGCCCCGTCCTCAGCTGTGATGCTGCAGTGTGCTGTAGTGTAAATTATCTGTGTTGTCTACAGGGAGAGTTCCTGAACTATGACATCTTGCTGGGGGTGAATCAAGGTGAAGGGCTGAAGTTTGTGGACGATAGCGAGGGAGAGGACGGCATCTCCGCTGCCTCGTTCGACTACACCATTTCCAATTTTGTGGACAACCTCTACGGATACCCAGACGGTGCGCATCCTTCACAGACATACAGGCGTAATTGCCTTTGCACAGTCATTCTCATCTATAGTTACTTCAAGAATGTGTAGAAAATATTACATTTTATTACAACCATGCAGACAGAATAATATAATTAACTGCACTCATACTCTGAGCACCACTTGGAAAGATTCTAACTTTGAGATTTTCAGTCTGGCAAAGAATGCAGATATGCAAATGAGACAAAACTCCTGATGATCCCAGTTAATTATATGGTAATTATATTAGCATTAGGGAAAATGCAAGCTATGGTAAAGGCCTTGTAACCCTCTGTAATGTGGAACTGAATTTAGATCACACCATTAGCGATTATTCTGCAAACAGTAATAGCTTGTCAGTATTAACAGTCTCATCTAGGCTAATTGAGTTGCATCCTATCAGAACCTGAAGCGATGTTTTGTCAGAACATCAAATTTGTACAATTTCTCCCTTTATCATAAATGTTATCCATCAGCCAAGAGTGTCTGAAGTTTGCTTTATAGCTTTAGCACTGGAGCTACAAGGCTAATGTAGCTATAATGCATGAGTTCAGCTGTTTTTAGCTATACTAAGGCTCTTTAGTCCATGTTTATACATGACAGTGTGTCCTACAGTGTCAGAAACCACATCCTGTACCTCCACGTAGTTTGTGTGATAAGGCATGCAGTTAGCACCATGCTAATTGGTGGGGTATTAGCTTTACTTGTTAGCTACATTAGCCTCATAACTCCAGTGCTAAAACAGAAGAAGCAAACTTGTCTTGGCTGATATACAACATTGGGGATGATGGGAAGAAAATTTCAGAGTGCCGCTTTAAAAGTCCAATCCATTCCTTTCATTACGTCCTTCTCTCCTTCTCTTTCTTCCCTCAGGTAAAGACATTCTGCGCGAAACCATAAAGTTCATGTACACGGACTGGGCTGACCGGGATAACGGTGACATGCGGCGGAAAACGCTGCTCGCGCTTTTCACCGACCACCAGTGGGTGGCGCCGGCAGTAGCCACGGCAAAGCTGCATGCAGAATTCCAGTCTCCGGTTTATTTCTATACCTTCCACCACCACTGCCAGACGGAGGCGCGGCCGGAGTGGGCCGACGCGGCGCACGGTGACGAGATCCCCTACGTGTTCGGGGTGCCCATGGTGGGGGCCACCGACCTCTTCCCCTGCAACTTCTCCAAAAACGACGTAATGCTCAGCGCCGTCGTCATGACCTACTGGACCAACTTCGCCAAAACTGGGTCAGTCTACTCTCTACTCGAGCTTCTACTCAGGAAATCCCAGATGAGTCTCTTTTCCCATCTATGTCCAAATAAATTTAGTATGATGATCAAAAATGCCACAGAACTTGTTCTGGTTGGTGTAAAGCAGAGGTGACCACTGCCTTGTGGTGGGACTAGGACCTCTGACGAAACTGGTCCTACTCATCATAAATCAAAGTGTGGTTTGATTGATTCATCTGTCATCAATTATGCTGGTAGGTATTCTAATGTGAATGGCCTTCAGTTCAGCTCCTGAAGTCCTAACCAATCGGAGAGCTCACTTGGCTTTATCTACGTGGATACCACAGAGTATGCAGCGACACAATACTTCAGGAGCTTAAAGGTGCAGTGTGTAAGATTTAGTGGCATCTAGTGGTGAGGTTGGAGATTGCAACTGGCTGAATCCCCGTCCCTCACCCCTCCCTTTCCAAGCGTGTAGTAGAACCTACGTTGGCCATCAGGTTTTCTGCTATTGCCTGTCCTGATTTCGTTTTGCAGCCACTGACTTCTTCTTTCTGCACAGGTGGTTCTTTAAGGGTTCTTGAGTAAAGATAATGGTTCTATGTAGAACCATCAACACTCACAGAACCCTTCGCATGATTAAAGCGTTCTTTGCATCGTGAAAGGGTTCTTCAGATTGATGGAGAATGTACTGTAGATGGTTCTAAATAGAACCTTTTTGATAAGAGTTCTATATAAAGAACCCGTGAAGAACTATCATTTTTAATTGTGTACATCTTAGCTGCAACGCCACCAAATTCAAGCTGCCTCTTCAGCGTAAAAACGCGAAAGGCGCCCTCTAGAGCATCAGTGTCTGGATTGGCCGCTCTGGGCTACTGTAGAAACATGGCGGCGGCAGCCTCTGTTGGAAGAGGAGCCGCTCCCTATGTAGATATGAAGGGCTCGTTCTAAGTTAACGAGAACACAACGATTCATAGTTACAGGTGATTATACTCTAACGAGAACATGTTTGTATAAAATAAGTCCCTCTAAATCTTACACACTGCACCTTTAAATACAAACATAAATTCAGTTATGATTCTTTCAAATACAAATATAAAATAAATGAAACTAAAAATTCCAGACATGTATTTTTTTATTGCCTGAAATTAACAAAAGATTGGAATTACACGGCTCAAAACAGCCGATACTGATCCATTAAATCTCAATCGGCACTGACACTGACTCAGCCTCAGATCGCGTCAGGACGTCACTGCTTCTCGCAGCTGTGATCCAGCCTCCATTACGGCTGTGTCGAAACGCTCCAAACTCTAACGGGGCTAAATATTCAGATCAGATTTGTTTTTCCAGCTTTACCTGATCGGATTTACGCGTTTAGTCACACCATCAGCATTTGCTGTTCAGCCGAAACGGCTGCGTTGGTGTATTTGAACGTGTTCCAAATCAGAATAGAAGTGATCTGTTTGGATGCTACCTTTTGATGTTTGGACTTCAAAGAAAAGATCAAATCAGTACTGGATGTGGGAGAAAGATCAGATTTGACTGTATGCGTAAACAAAGCTTTAAAAAACTCAGTGTTAATGCACATATTAAGCGACTGTTGGTTTCAAAAGAGTTATATGTCAGAGAAACATACAGTTCAGTCTGCTCCTACACAGAGTGTTCGGGAATCTGAGCGTCATCATTTATATATACATTTATATTTACATGATGTAAATATGACTGTAAACATCCTGCAGTTTAACTCTGCATATTTGACCTCGTGTATCTTTTGAATTAACTTCATTTAATGATTTACTTTTTCTATGCGCAGTTTATTCTACTGATCAACTCTGTCTCTTAATATCTGCTAGGGGGCGTAACGGTTCTCCGAATCCACGGTTCGGTTCAAACCCCCATTTTTCAGCCGTGGTTTAGTTCAGACCTCGTTATTTTCTGTTTGAGTTTTGCTGTGGGGGGACACACTGAAAAAAAATGGTTCTTCAAGGGTTCATAAGTAAAGAAAATGGTTCTATATAGAACCATGAACTATCTGAAAGGGTTTTTTGAGACATGAAATTGTTCTTCAGATTGATGGGGAACGTGTGTTATATCATTCTTTATTGAACCTTTTTGAAAAGGGTTCTATAAAGCACCAAAAATGGTCATCATAACAATAGGAGAACCCATTTTGGTACTATGTAGAACCCTTTTCAAACAGGTTCTGTATAGAACCATCTAAAGAACATTCTTAGGAACCCTTTCAAGATGCAAAGAACCCTTTAATCATGCAGTGGGTTCCTTGATTGTTCATGGATCTATATAGAACCATTTTCTTTACTAAAGAACCCTTGAAGAACCAGCTTTTTTAAGCATGTACTAATTAACTCTGTCTCTTAATATATACTTGGGGCGTTGGTTTCAAACCTCCATTTCTGAGCCGTAGTTTGGTTCAGACCTCGTTGTTTTCTGTTTCTTTTGTTTAGGGTGGGGTGGGGAGGGTGCACACTTGAAAAAGATGGTTCTTCAAGGGTTTTTAGTAAAGAAAATGGTTCTATATAGAACCATGAACACACTTACATTCTCCAGATTGATGGAGAATGTGTTTTATATCATTCTTTATAGAACCTTTTAGAAAAGGGTTCTATATAGCACCAAAAAGGTTCTTTTATTGTTACAGCCTTGACATCATAACAATAGAAGAACCCATTTTGGTGCTATGTAGAACCCTTTTCAAAAAGGTTCTGTATAGAACCACCTTAAGCACATTCTTAGGAACCCTTTCAAGATGCAAAGAACTGGGCGTAAGGATTCTCCAAATATACAGTTCAGTTCAAACCTCGATGTTGAGCTGTGGTTTGATTCAGACCTTTTTTTTGTTGTTGTTTTTTCTTTTTGTTGTGGGGTGCCTAAGAAAAAACAAGGAAAAATTTTAGAATTTTATTATTTATTAATTATTAAATCACCAACAATTTGTAAGACTGAAGAAAAGAACGCAAAAAAATAAAGCATACGTCTCGCCCTAACTTTACACAGAATCATAATTTTGTGAATTACATGTGTTAAAGTGTTAACTGTGCAGTGAAAAATGAGTTTTGGTACATTAGTAACGTAATGAAGGCTCAACAGAAGCGGTGGCGGTTGGGGTGGGGGGGGTTGGGTGGGGGTACGAGACCATGAACGTTTGTATCATGGTTTCGGTCTCGGTTTCAGAATCACTTCACCACTAATATATACAGTCCTCTGCAAAAGTCTTAGGAAGTCGTTCCTGTCCAGAGAAAACCACGTATCTCCATTTTTGTCGATTTTTATTTTTCTACATCATTTCAACACATCAGGTGTCCTTTATGTCATGTGAAAGTTTCTTTGGACAGCGACAAATACAAGTAAACATAAATACAGTAAAAAGTAACAAGACTTTCTTGTTCTCAAAAACGTAGTTGATCTTCTGAACATTGAGAACAAAGTGTGGTTCCAGATTTCTCCCTGACAGCCACAGCTATCGCAGACTTTTAAACTCCACCTGATTTAACATAATGAAGTATTGATTAGCCAAAGCAGGTATTGGATGATTTCTACAAATCCTGGGCTGCCATGAGGAAAATGAACACATGAAATCGCTGCTTATTTTTTTTTCATATTTTTGGATTCATTCTAATATTCATCTTTTCCTGAGCAAATAAATACTTAATGCTTATTTAAACAGCTTTTTCAATCTAGTTTTCTCAGATGGTTAAAACTTTTGCACAAGACTGTACATGCTTGTTTTTCTCACTCTTCCCTCATCTTTTCTTTCAGTGATCCGAACATTCCGGTGCCGCAGGACACCAAGTTCATCCACACTAAGCCCAACCGCTTTGAGGAGGTCATCTGGACCAAGTTCAGCTCCAAGGACAAGCAGTACCTGCACATCGGCCTGAAGCCTCGCGTCCGCGACAACTACCGTGCCAATAAGGTGGCCTTCTGGCTGGAGCTGGTCCCTCACCTGCACACGCTGCATGAAGAAATCGTCAACTCCATCACCACCCGCCTGCCGCCCGGAGGAGGCGGGGGTGGGTCCCACCGGCCCGGCCGGAAGGGTCCGGTGCAGGGTCCGGGGACACGATCCACGAGGCATCCGGTGGTGTCCACTTACCCTCCGGATTCAGATCCGGAAGGTTCGGAACGTCCTCGCTTTTCTCCGTTTCCAGAAGCCACTCGGGATTATTCGACTGAGCTGAGCGTGACGGTTGCCGTGGGAGCATCACTGCTTTTCCTCAATGTCCTGGCCTTCGCTGCCCTCTACTACAAGCGCGACAAGCGGCACGAGCTCCTCCAGCGCAGGCATCGTCGTCTTTCTCCTCAACGTGGTGCCGGAGGCCCCGGGGCGGGCATCGCGGGCATAGCGGGCATAGCGGGTATGGCTCCGCCCCACAACGACCTGGCACTGAGCCAGGAGGAGGAGCTAATGTCCCTCCAGATGAAGCAACAAAGGGTAGAGCTGGACCACGGCACCCCCTTGGCGCCGCGCGGTCTGCACGGTGACCTAGAGCCCCTGCGCCCACCTGTGTGCCCGCCGGACTACACACTGGCGCTGCGGCGGGCGCCCGAGGACGTGCCGCTAATGACGGCCAATGCCCTCTCTATGATGCCCAGCACCATCACCGGCATGCAGCCCCTCCATGCCTTCAACACTTACCCCCCCGCACCAGCCCCCAGCTCCAGCCACAGCAACAACGCCCTGCCCCACCAGCACTCCACCACACGCGTATAGTAGTAGCGCCTCCAGGAAGGGGGCCAAGCACTTCGACCTTTGCGAACTCGGCACCCCGTATGTTCGGAAAATATGAAAGAGTGTTTTCTATTTGTTCGCGCTGAGTTTGTTCTGATTTGTGCTGCTATAGAAAATCCTAATGCTGGCGCATTTCTTCAGGAATTAATATTACGTTTTATGACCAGTGATGTCACTCAGTACCCTGTCAGCAAAATAGTCTGGATCGTTGGTGCTAGATTCGTGCTGGGATCATTTTTGAGAAATTATACATAACGTTTTATGACCTGTGACGTCACTCGGCATCCCCTCAAAAAATAGTCAGGATCGCTTTGTTACGCTCTTAAAAAAGATGGTTCTTCAAGGGTTCTTTAGTAAAGAAAATGGTTCTATATAGAACCATGAACACCCAAAGAACCCTTTGCATGATTAAAGTGCTCTTTGCATCATGTAAGGCTTCGTCAGACTGATGGAGAATGTGTTGTGTATGGTTTAATATAGTTTTTGACTCTATAAAGCACCCAAAGATGTTCTTCTATTGTTATGGTGTCAAGTTTGTAACAATAGTAGAACCCTTTTGGGTGCTATATAGAATCTTTTTCAAAAATCTTTCTATAGCACATCCATGCACATTTTCCATCAATCCGTAGAACCCTTTCATGATACAAAGAACCCTTTAATCATGCAAAGGGTTCTTTGGATGTACATGGTTCTATATAGAATCGCTAAAGAGCCCTTGAAGCACCATCTTTTTTAAGAGTGTAGGAAGAACACACAAATTGGCATGTGATCATAATGTGGAGGTTCTTTAGGCCTATGAAAGGTTCTTTATTCCGCAAATCTCTTTTTCAAACATGGTTCTTTAGGGAAGCAAAAATGGCTCTTCAAAGAACCCATTGTGGCAAGAGCGTAGGTATGTTCTGAACTCATTAATGTCCAAAATGGTCTGCTAACATTTGTACTATCAAAAGAAACATTTGTGCTACTTTAATTTCATTATATACATTCACATTTAGGGCTCTTTATCATGTAGATGGCAGATGTAGCGTTGGGAGTCCAGCCCAGGGGCTCCTATTGGTATAACTTATATTGTTACCATCTTTTAATGTATTCAAATTTCTCCCATTAAACATACCAGCACAGCGATTTTTCTACAACATAGGTCATCACAAATGCAGCATAAATAGGAAACGCTCGTTTCATGATGGTACAGGGGGGCTGAATTCACGGAGGTAGCGTCTCGCTAACCCTCTGGACACAGACTCTCGAGAGATACTGTCCAAATACTTCTTCTCCAGTCCTTTTACCTCTAACACCCCCCCAGCTCTTCTCTTCTCTGTCTTTCTCCTTTTTCGAGGAGTTTTACGCTGAGAAACAGTTTGCCGGCATCTCGTTTTGGAATTTCCAATTCGAAACAAGAGGCCGACTTCAGCTTCACGAGAAACAGAGAAGTCTCACCTTCCGCTTCCGTTCTTTTCTCTGTGCGTCCTTTCGTTCTTTCTCTCGCCGCGTTCTTTTCTCTTGTTCTCGTTTATTTTTTTCTCGTCCAAGTCCGTCATTCGGTTTTTAACACCAACTACGGGACAGTCTTTTGCCTACGTTGAACACTTTTATAAATCTAAACCGTGTAAAACATTGAAACGTGTTACTGAGAAACTTGTACGGGGGTAAAAACTATTCTGATATATCGTTTTTACCAGCATTTCTGTGCCAAGTACTGTGATAATCGTCCAATCAGACGCTGCGTCTGCTGGACCGACTTGGAGTGGACCGCCCAAAATCTGATCGGAAAAAAAAAAAGTGCCAAAACCTTGTTTTGCTTTTTTCTTTTCTCTCTCTTTTCTTCTTTTTTTACTATTATTATTATTCTTTTTTGGTTTTGCACTGTCGCTGGTCTCTGCTTATGGGAAGAGATTGAAAATATAAATGAGAATATCTATATAAAGAGTCTAAATATAGAATTATAAAATTTATATCTTGTTTGCTCTCTCTCTGGGAAATTTGCATGATTTATTTTCTAAAGGAAAAAGGAAAAAAAGTGGACAATTCAAGACTTCTTTTCTCGTCTCGTTTTTATTATCGACATCCTTTTCTTGGAAAGTCGTTTTTCTCCCTCTCTCTCTCTCTCTCTCTGTCTCTCTTTCTCTACTTCTCTCTCTCTTTTTTTGCTATATTTTTGTGCACTTCATCCAGATATTCTTTGTAGATACTTAAGCATATCAGGAAAATGGAAACTGATTATGATCACAATAAAAAAAGGATGAACAGATCCCTTCTTTTTTTTTTTTTCTCCAGCTGTACAACCCACTCCAAAGGACTTAACCCCACCACCACCACCTCCACCACCACCAAAACCTTCTCCATTTATACTGTAAATTCCACTCTGTTGACCACATCGTCTCCAAGTCAGGACTGTCCACTATCCCCCTTTCTTTCTCTCTTTCTTTCTTTCCCTCTTTTATCTTTCGTTCTGTCTTTCTCTCTCGTATTCAGAAGGCCAGCCTGCTCCAACGTTTTTTCCCACTTCTCGGCACTGAGGAGGCCGATTGGAAAGAGAAGGGAAGAAGAGACAGTGGACGTGGAAAAACACAGTCGGACTCTCTACGCTGACCAGTCGTAGGCCTTTAGGGTCAAAGCGGTCAGCCCTGGTTCGGCCTGGTTGGGTTTGGTCGATCGCACGGCAAGAAATGCTGTTATTTGTGCTTCTGTTGGTGGACCATTCATGCTACCATGACCTGACCACTACAGACAAGGCCGCTGGAGCCTCACATACACCTAACTCATCGTCACCTTTCTGTTTTCCCCCCACCGTCCCGTTTTTTGGAAACACTCTCAAACTGCTTTCTACGGGACCGGAGACCGGACAGAAACACAGAAAACAAAACAAAACAAAACAAAACAAAAACTGTACATTTTTTTTTCAAAGTGTAAAAGAGAAGACATGGTCTTTGTAAATATTCTGTTCATTGTTTGGTTTACAGATGACCGGCCCAAAAAAACGTATCCTTTTGTGACAGCAGGTGCAAGTTTGAGTTGTCCGGGAGTAGCTACTAGGGTCAGCCTTCCTTTCGTTCACGTTAGAAGCTGTTTTTTTTCCCTTTGATGGTGTTTCAGAAGACGACCTGGAGCCAGTTAAGAGGGCCAGTTTATTAGAAACACCTACCTTGTAGCTACACTTTTGAAAACACTGGCCATCTGGGTCCTCCAGGACCTCCGGATGGGCCACATTTGGAGTTGTGTTGGTTTGCAGCAAACATGTGGACCGTCTGGGGACCGATTTGAGAACCACTGATCTAGGTGACCTGAGTAAGGCTGCATGATGTATTAAGAAGGTATAATTCACAAATAAATGGGACATTTTGATTATTTTTAATAAGCCCACAATTGGAATCACTGCCAAAAATGTAGCACCCTATTTTTAGATATGCAGGAACACCATTAAACTACACTGACCTACGACTGTAATTAGCTTTGCATATGAGCACAAGCTAAAATGCAAAACATTTACATAAAATAATGTCAATGCGTACAATAATAGTCTGATTTAGCAGTCTCATTTTATTTAGACAGTCCACTATAATCCCCTACAGATTATTTACAGATTTCAAATTGGTATCTTGTCAAGTGAAATCATCTTAAAGATATCTAATATTTCCCATTTTAAGATGGCGCATTTATTATACGATTATTTCGCTTATTTCTGCCAATATAGTGAGATAATTTTACTTAATAAAATTACTTAAAACAAGTGAAAAATGTGTAAAACAATCTTAAATTAAGCTTACAACAATCGTAACAGGGAGAAATATTAGATTTCTTGACTGTATTTAAGAATTTTAATTGAAAAGATACCATTTTTTGCAGTGTGTTGATTCTAAACAGTGATGGGGTTGGGGTTAGGATTAGGGCCAGGGTGAGGTTTTGGGCTGAGGTTAAGGTTAGGGTTAGGATTAGAGCAGGTTTAGAGTTAAAGAAAATTCTGGTCAGTTTAGTAGATTTTTAGTTGAATGTAACTTGAAAGTAAATTAAGTATCTACAAAGCATCTTAAGTGGACTATCCAAATAAAGTGTTACCAATTTAGCTATGTAAAATTAATCAATGATGTTTTAGACATGTAACCTCTCTTATACGCACTTTATACATTATAATGTGAACTTGTGTTAAGCAAGTAATACATTATCAGCTATTGGCGTCAGTATTGGCCATAACACGATGTTAACTGATGGTTAATTCTATATCAGTGTTTACTTTTTTGGTATGCAGTTTTTAGTCTTGAGGAGCTGGATGTGATTTCATAACGAGAACGTCTCAGGACAGTCATGAGAGATTTGGGGCTAAATGTGGGAGGAACTTAGACTTATTATTGGGGGTGGGAACCAATACAGTGTGACATTTCTAAATCGGTCCATCGCCTCATGAAGTCGAAGCTCAGAGGTTCAAAGTAGGGGGCGATAGTTTGCTCACTATCTGATGAACAAGCGCATCGAAAGCACATGGATGTAGCATATTTTAGCTGAAAAGTCCCACAAAATAGTCCAGAACAAAACCGCTTCAAGAGAAAATCATCATTGGCAAATGATAGCATTTTATTGGCTAGCTTGTTTTGCCAATGCTATCGATTACTCCAGCATTAAAAAAGCATGGGCGAAAAAATTTGGGGGTAGAGTTTTAAAGGGGGCGGAGAATTTTGTCACAGTCCGGCACCAAAGGTTTAACAAGTTGTCCCCAGATTAGATCGCAGCTAGCCCTGTGAGACTAGCCACCATTGCGCTGGGAATGGTCCATCACCCAAATATCTGTTCAGTGGTGGTTCTCCAGTGGTCCCTTACCATTGATGAATGGGGTAGAGGGGGGGGCTGAAGAATTGGGCTACAATCTGTAACTATAAACTTACAAAGCGCACCTCTGTAGTAGCCGTTTCTGATAAAATGGCCAATGTGAGTAGCTAAAGGTTAGGAGTTTCCAGTAAACTGGCTACTCAGTGGAGCCAAATGTCCATCCTGGCCCGAATTAGAACCACGGCACAGTTGGGACACCAGAGCAAGTGGTGGTTGAAAGACAAAACCAATCAGGTCTTAAACAGCAGCTCAACAATACATGCTAATGTTGTTGACAATGATTGTACACCGGTAGCCACCTGTTAGCATAATGTTCCTTTATCATGCTAATTGTTAGCTATTTGCTTTCATCCATTGTTAGCAACATCAGCATTATTGACTGAGCCATTGCTTCAAGAAGACGTCCTTCAGCGGTCAAATACAGATGGACTATTAAAGTTAGAGGTCCCTAAATGGTTCCTGTAGACGTTCCAAACTTTTAATTGGTATAGAAGAAAGTTTAGGTTCTTCACACTCAGATATCGCATTTACAAATTAGCTTCTACAAAGAAGCATCCACTGAAATGTTCTTTAAGGAACCAAAAGTGGTTCTCGTGGCATGGCACCCTCATTTTTAAGAGTATGGGTCAGTGGTGGCCAATAAGAGGAAACGATTTTTTAATCCAATCCACCTTTGGAGAGCCTTTTTGTTTGATTTCCTCATAAAGGGGGCTTACGGTGTGAAGCGTTTAAGTAGGCATCGTCACTCTAAGACCAGGCCTGCTCTTACAATCATGCTTTTGAGCGTTTCCTTTTTTTTCACACTGATTAAACGACACTGTGGGTTCAACTGCTACTCAAACCGGTTGTAGGTTTATAGAGATTTCAAAACTGACCCAAACATCGGAGATTAGCTGGGAGGGGCCTTGATTTCTGGCTTATCTCTTTTGCTGTGAATTTGAGCTGCATATTATATTTCAGAATAGAGAATTTAAACTGTCCATATTTTTCTAAAGAGCAAAAAGGGGTGAACGGGGAGAGCGTCCAGTGGCGGCGGACAGACACGCGAAGCACACTTTCACCAAGGATTTAATGGTGATACTCTACGGTCTGCCGTTGCCATGTATGTAGTAAAAAAAAAAGAAAAAAAAAGAAAAAAAAAAGCGGGGGAAAAATAACAAAAAAAGAAAGGATGATATTTACTAAGTGCAACTGTTCAAATATTAATGCTGGGTTGCCAAAAGAAAAAAATAAAATAAAAGACTTGCACCTGTTGGTTTTCATTTTGTTCAATTTCAGCGAAAGTGCTCGATGTGAGAGGATTCAGAGGACGGGGTTCGGAGAATGGCGTTAATATTTCTATTTCATATAAAGGCTATTACACACTGTATGTTGTGTATATGAACTGGAGAACATTAAAAGACATTATTAAACAGACCTCTCTGCCTCCTCACTCAGCACAACGGACCATATGCAGAGTTATGAGCGACATTAATCTCAGCCGATCGCAGTCGTCTCCAAGGACAAACCTGCAGTGAGAATGGCGGTGGTAGCAAATCAGTCAGCATTATTACCCTGTGTTCACACCGGCAGTGACTTTTCGTCTCTTGTCGCCCAAATCGCTGGTCGCTCATCACCTGTGGGAGTTTCTGAACTCTAGTTGGTTGCCATGGTTTCACTGACGCCATGCGCAAATCAGATGCATTCCCGCTTAAAGTAAAAGTCCTGGTGAGAAATCGCTTGTGTGCTTATTTTGATTTAATCCTTGTATGTGCAGTCAGTTTGTGAGGAAAACAGTATTTGGTCTATGCGATTACTGTCTATTTGCGGCGAAAGCACCGCCACCGTTATTCCACCTCTACTAGAAACAATTATCTGGAAACCAAAAAAGTGCGTACTGTTTCACAGTGGCAGAGATACTGCACTGCTCAATGCTCAATTCCTATTGGTGATCGCCACATCGCTTCGCTCTTTATTTGAATAAAGTTAAACTCCACTAAACCTTGTCAGAGAACTTGTAGAGAGGAGAATTTCCACTCTGTAATGTCTTCCAGGTTTCTCAAACACTAGAGGGCGCTCCCGAGCGAGTCCAAAATGAATGGGTTAAGATGGAGCATTTGAGTAAAATTGTAGTTTGAGTTCTTAAACATTTTTCCTGAACAGAGAACAGCATAAAATATTTTAACACTGCTGTTCTATTTTTAAGAGCTTTTAAACTCGAGCTATAGGAGTTTAAAATGGCACCTCAAGTACGTTCATGACGTCAGTGAGCGTGAACAGCCAATGAGCTGCTCCTCTCGCCAACCAATCAGCACTCAGTAGCAGTAACGTTAGCGTCACGCTGCCCAAATCCTGTTTGCTGTAGAAAAAAGGAAACATACAGGTGAGTTTTCTCTGCTTTTTTAGTGAAATCATCCTTCTACTGTCGAAAATTAAAGGAAAGTTCTGGTTCAGTGATTAGAAACTATTTTAACTTTTCGTTTTTAGCCGTTGAGCTCCGTTCACTCCAATTCATGAAGACTCATTTGCGGGTGTCTTCTGCTGTTTTGTAGTCCTGTTTTTGATATAATAGGGGAAATAGGAAGTGGCCAGTCTCCTCATAAACCGGCTCTGACCTTGTTCGTCGCCGACTCCACCCACTTTGCATCGAGAACGTTCACGCCGCCTCCTGTCACAGGAAATTGCCAGCTGTCATTGAAAATGAATGACCTCTGGCCGTTTTGTCGTGTTGCGTCACTGCCGGTGTGAACGCAGGGTCAGAGTGAGAAATGGTGGAATGTATGAAGTCTGACTCACATGGAGCTGCTTTTATTTCATTCCTGGAGCTGAAACAGTTTTGAGGCAGGCTGCACTCACAGCTCAGTCTTTTGCCTACATTGACCCCAAGGTAAATATACTTTACATGGGTTACTGATAACATTACAGAACTATGTCCAGGTCAGTTAGCTCGCTGATTTCTCAACTTACACTGCCTTCAAGTCCACCTTGCAAGTTCCTACTTATGACTCCAGAGGCCTAAATAAGAATTGATCTGTGTTCAGGTGGTTTTGTCGGAAACAAGATGCGCTGGAAATTATGTCTGTTGTTTACCCCTTTAATGTCCTAACCAAGAAAAAAGCAGTGGATTATTTATTTTTTGCGTTTTTTTATTTGTTTTGGGGCAATGATAAAAACAATTGGTGTTTCTTTTTCGTTTTTTTAACCACATAATTTAAAAAAATATTCACATCTACTAAATGGTCAAGATGGCACTTTGTGGCATATATAGTGACTCAAAATGTGCTCTACCAGATGGTTGAGCAGAACATTAAAGGGTTACTTTTGTTCTTCTGTCATTAAACAGAGTCCATTTATGTTGCGTTTTTGAAGAGCAGAGGACGCTCATGAGATCTGTAATGTTTTTATCCAGTTAAATACTTTCCTATAAGGACTTTGCTAAAAAGCTCAGCAGCACTCATGTTCAGTGCACACAAGTGCAGGAAGCGTCAATGTAAAGGAAGGTCAATTTAAATCACTTTTATAAAGGATTCTGAAAACCATGTTTACAGTAATCACACAAAAAAGGCATTTGGCATTAAAGTGGTCAGTTTTCATGTCTAGTAAGGCAAAGTTTGAGCTAAGAAAGCTGCCCCTTTTAGATGAGCTAAGGCTAAAGCTAAAGCTAACACTAGAGCTAGTCAGTGCTATGCTGAGGAGAACTTGTTGTTTTTTTAAGTTTAATCAAACTTATGAAACAATATAAATGATAATGACGTGTGTAGGAGTGCGTTTATCTATTTTAATCACTAACTTAAGCACTGCAGTCCTGTTTTATCTGACTACTTTATCAAGCTAACCGTTAGCAGCTCAGGAAAGAAAGGCTAACTTAGCTGGTTAACTGAAGCTCAGCATTGCTCTGTGACGTTATTTATCACAAGACATCACATTAAAATCAGTGTTGGCAAATACAGTAACCATGAAATTTAGCTTACAATTCTGTACGTTAGTTTTGTCATTGCTCTGTGAGTTTGGTTCCATATTGCGTGTCTGAATTACAAGCTAATACATTTTCACAACTTTCACACAACTAACTACATTTCCAAGAGAAAAAACATTTTTTAATTATATATTTTTTTATTTGTCTTTTTCCAACCAGCAGTGTTTTTTATTTGAGTTTTATTTTTAATAAAACATCCAGTGAAGTCTACATAAAACGTGAAATGAACCTGCCCACATCTACGCTCATTTGTCCTTGGACAAGGATCAGTACTGGCTACTCACATCTTACACCTCCAAATTAAGAGTCCTGACTCTTATTTTTTCTGATGGATTAAAAAGCAAATGGTTTTATTTTTTGAATGTGTTTAAAAATTGGTGCTTTTTGACTTTTACCTAAGTGTATTTGTGACTCCGTACTCCCATGTTCACAGTTTCTCTGTACTTTTTCCTCCTGTTAGTCACTAAGCTATAAAATTAGTGGCTTTTCTCTTTGCTTTCTTGTAGATGGCTTGTTTGTATTTCAATTGTAATACCTGCTTCATCCTCTAGATGGCAGACGTTCTTCTCTGATTTCTCTGTTTGTGGCCTTCAGCAGTTTTTCCTCACACAGCGCGTCGCTGAACCAGAAAGACCTTCGCTTGTAGAAGTGAAATGTAAAGAGAGAAGGCACAGCTTACTTATTCACAAACACGCCCACACAGATACATACGTACATTACACGGCCTCAGCTGCCGGGCGTAAGGGTCATCTGCTCCACTCTCTGTCAGCATACAGTGAGATTAGAATTTCCAGGTTGTGTCAGTCATCCTGAAGCCCTTCATAAATGGTCAGTTTCTGACCAAAAGAATTTTGGGTGGTGGTCCACTCTCAATCTAGCAGAGATATAATATCTAGACAACAGTGGTCAAATAAGTGGTCCTGTGGTCAGTCATTAACTAACCAATGATGAAAAAAAAAAAAAGGGTCATTCTACAGAAACGTCCACTTTTCTGTCTCTCCATAGGAGTCACTGGTGTTACTGATCCTCATTGGTGTTCCTCATAATAAAGGAACACCAGAGACATTTTTAATGAACAATGCATTTTACAAAACGGCTGCTACAGAGCATCAAACCACATGATGTCAATCATGGAATATCCACCAAAATATGTAATTTAATCCATTTATATTGTTTTTTCACAATGACCTCGGAATAAAGTCGGTCACACCAGCAACTTCAGCTAAAAGCTTCATATGAAATCATGAGCTAAATGAGAAAATCTCTGATAACTGAAAGACTCAGTGGACTCACCATGTGCTTTTCTTCATAGATCCTCAGAAAACAGGTAAAAGGAAGTCAAGTGATGTCATCAGTGTGACTTTTATTTCAAAATAAGAGACTTTTTGTTATGCAGTAACACCAGTGACACGACTCCTGGGGACAACTTCCATTATATATTTTATAATATTTATTTGCCATTTGTTTTCTTTATGTCATTCAAATCATATATTTCATAGTCATGTAGAGATTATTGCAGTTAAAAGTGCAGAAAATCATGTTTTTTACCTCAAAATATGGCCTCAGCCTTCACACATGACTGTGAGGACGAGCTCTTCTGTGGTGCTTGGAATTCTATATGATTGATTTAAAAACCAGTATTGCTAAATTGAGGCTCAAGAAGGTGTAATTATTAAAATAACTAATTGTTTTGTTTTAAAATATAAATAAATTGTAACTCTAATATGTTTTTCAAGTGTAATATATCTGTAACCGCTAGAGACACAAAAATGGACGTTTCTGTAGAATGACCCCTGTAGAAACATTGACTCATCATTCAGTTTTAATAGTTAAAACTTAAACGCTCTAAAGCTCTATTTCACTAGAATTGTCCACTCTGAACTCGGAGGAGCGTGAACAGGACAGAAAGCGTGTATCTGCACTGACCGTCTGAGGCAGGCCGAGGTCTGCGCCTGCCAGAGAGAAACAAGAGATGAGTTTATGTGAAATACAGCTGCCTCTACTGAAGATGGTCCTATTTTCCACCTGCAAAGTCATAATTATTTTGTATATGCATTGAAATGCTTCGTAGATGGAAGCATGGAGAATTTGCTAGATCAGCCTCTTCTTATGAAGTACGCCACTAATGTTAGCGAGGTGAATGCTTTCCTTGATTTTGGCTGATGTGTAGCCCATTAACTGACGGACAGACGTCTTGCATTGTGCTCGTTTTGTCCAGCAGAGGGGGCTGCTGCTATCTACTGACCACTTCTACCACTTTCTCGCCTAGTTTTAGAGAACACTTGAGTAAAACCTGACCAGAAGCCAGCAAGTGTCAAGTGAGTCCACAACATCACCACAAACATCTTTTCTCTGCCATGACAAAAAGGCTAAAGGTCAGTAAGAGCTTGTAAAGGCCAGTAGGCCAGGAACTGCCCTTATGTATTTATATATTGACGATAAGTTTGACAGCACATGAAAGAAGCGTCAAGCTGAGCGGTTAGCGGTACTATTCCAAGACACATAGACAATACTGAATGTAGGTCAGTCGCATTTATTGAATGTCCATCATTCCGGCTCAGGTTGGGGATTATTTCCTAGAAGAATATGGGCGGTGACTTTGACAGCATTTCATAAGAAAACAGACTGAATCTTAAGCCAGTTAAGAGGAAAGTAATCCATACTGGAGCTGTCAGTGCTGTGATTCTGGATCATGTGTTTGCTTGCCTGAAGAAAACGACTGACTGACTGACAGACTTTCATTTTAGTGGTACACTATGTTCTGGAAAGGGCGTGGTACAGCCTTATTCAGTATCTACTTGAGATTATTCAGTATCTACTATGAATTATTCAGTACCTACAATGAATTATTCAGTATCTACTGTGAATTATTCAGTCTCTACTATGAATTATTCAGTATCTTGTATGAAGTTTTCAGTATCTACTATAAATTATTCATGTATTAGCATTAGCACTCTCACTATGGCTGTCTCAGTTCGCACGGCTCCAAGATGCGACATCAACATGACACACACTTGTCCTCATGAGAACCATCAGCATCACAATCACCAAACCTACACACACACACACACACACACACACACACACACACATATTATATCTTAATATAATCGCTAATTATCTTAAAATATTAACATCTGCTTTATTACCTTGAAATAATGCCTTGTTTTATCAAAATCTGTGATACAATGTCAAAAAAAATTAGTTATTACATTTTAAGAAAGTAAATAATTATTTTTGGATGATGAGTAATTATTACAAGACTAATTCAACATTGAGTTATTACTTTTATTAATTTATGCTTTAAGAAAATAAGTAAGTTAGTAAGTCAATACTTTGAGAAAGTAATTCATTATTTTAGTGTGATGTCATCATTAGTAGATATCTCTATATTATGAGAAAATAAGCCACAATATAAATCAATATTTTGACATAAAAGAAACAGAGGAGGAGAAAACACCATAGTTTTTCTCTTCTTCCATATCCTTCACAGTAATTTAGCATCTCAGTCGTCCTGTTTGAGCTTTATCTGATGTGACATATTGTGAAAAACAGCTTTCGCATGAGCTTCAATCCCTCGTTAGGCATTCATTCACTGGGAGAAGATGTACGCTGATGGTGCGTCCACATGCACAGACAGTTCACCACTGAGGGAATGTCACACTGACTCTGCGGAGCTGAAGAAGGTGAGAGCTCACGATTCGCCATGGTTTATCCCAGACTGAGTGAAATCCCTTATAAAACCCTGCTCTTCATGCTTTACGGTGATCCTGCTGATCCCATCCTCTCACATTTAGAAAGACGTCCTTCATCAGACACTCGACCTGGAACAATAAAGTTTCATACAGGAGCAGCTGCTGTCAGACACCCTGAACAGTTTGAACACAGAACACAGCAGGTCATGTGTGTCGTTTGTAGCTGTTGTTTTAAAGTAATAATTACACATATTCTAATATTCATATTCCATATCCCTGCAGATTCTTTGAGGAACTGAGTCTCCTGAAAAGAATAGAAGCTGTAATGAAGGTAAAGAGTGACTCACTGACACTCACACAGCTGAGATTAGATTTAGGTGTTGTGATTTATTATTATAATTTCTGCTAAATATATTTCTACTTTTTTTACTGATACTCAAAAATGAATAAGTTGTTCTTAATGGCAGTTTTTACTAGGAATTTAATACATGAAGTGTAGTCTCTTACTTTTGCATTGTATTAAAGAAATAATTAATACACATATTATATTTATATATATATATAATATATATATATATATATATATATATATATATATATATATCCTTCTCCTGTAAAGTTACCATTTTGGAGATACAAGGTTTTGTTCTGACAACAGCGATATGCTGAGACCAGCAGAGGTAGAGCTATAAATATGAAAATACCCCATTTATAATACATAAAGGTCATATGTTATGTATATTATCATAGAGGCAGGTGATTTATAATATATGCATGTAACATAACAGACAATAGAGATAATGGAAGATACTTAAAGCTACATGTATAAATATATGTATATATATATATAAATATATATATATATATATGTAAATGGAATGTATGGGATGTATTATTATTGCATATGGATACTTACATATATACATATAAGGCATGTTATTAGTACATAACAACATATAAGTATTTGCATCTCTTCACTGTCAGAACTTATATGTAATACATAATACATATTATGTACTTCTACATATTGGACATCTCATTATATATATATATATATATATATATATATATATATATATACACACATACATATATATATATACACACATACATATATATGTATATATATATATATATATATATATATATATTATATGTATGTAGGATATAGTATATGTAGGTACTTATATATCACTGCTGTTGGAACTAAACCTATCTCTAAAATAGTAACTTTACAGGAGAAGGAAAAACCTACTTTACTTTTAATGTAAATCAATAGAATCAGAATTTTTTCCAAGTAACTTTGGGCCATTTCTTTTGGTCCTTTCTTTGTAAACTTTACACTTAGTGTAAAGGACAACAGGTACTTTCAAATTATTTCAAAAAGTGACAAAGAAAATGGAGATATGAGGTTTTGTTCTGAAAGCAGTATATCTGCTGTACACATCGCTGTGCATGTTCAGATATTTGAGTGTAAATACTCAGGCTGGGTTCCTCCCTCTGCTCTCGTTTCCCAACGTATTTGTCCGGGTTCAGAGAACACATGGAGTTTAGAGTCACCCTCAGTACACAGAGCCTGAGAGAGGCCTTCACACACACCAAATAAACACCAACAAATCCCTCAGAGCGTCCACAGAGAGAACTGACCCGCCAAATTAGCCAGTGTCAATGAGGGAGAACGTTCTAGAGCCTTCAGTTCACACACAAACCAGACGCCAGGGACGCACTTCACAAAGCAGCGTTTCTCAATTCAGCTCAAAAGAGTAATTTATTTAAAAAAACTCATTTGCACCCTTATTCTGAATATGAACAATCATGTTTGTTGTCTGACGTTTGCTTCTTTAGTTTTAGCCCTGGAGCTAAGAGGTTAATGTATCTAACAAGTAATGAAAGCTTATATCCCACCAATTAGCTTTATGCTAACTGTATGTCTAAATCATTGCACATTTGCCTCAAACCGTTTTCAAGTAACCTCTGAGTTGACATCTGGGGTGGTCAGTCCATCGTTCAGCTTCTTTGTTTGATGTGTCCGTCTCCTTTTCTCAGTGAGGTTCTTCTTGACAGCTACACATCCTTTCAGACCCACAGTGCTGAGTTGTCTTCTCACAGTGGAAGGATGGACAGAAACACCTGTGGATGTTTTCAGATCTGAAGCAGCTTGATTTTCTCCTCTCTCTCAGAGATGAAAGCTTTAAGTGCTGTTTATCTGATGGGGGCAGTTTTGGGGTCTACCAGGTCTTCCAGGTGGTTGTTAGGAGCCTCATTTTCTCTGTAGCTCATTTTTTTCAACTCTAGATTTGGAAAATTTGATTATTTTCCTTTGACTTTATCTAATCTCCCAAGAAATATCTCCTGACAAATGACATGTGCTTAACCCTCCGGGGTCCGTGAACTCAGCTGTGCGTCAAATTCTCTGTTTCTATATCTGTTTGTGTATCTTTGTGATGATCCAGCTCAGAAATCCAGTTCAAACACTTCCTGAATCTGTAGAGTCGCCCTTTCCATTCCATCTTATCACGAGATCATACGAGACTCACATCCGGAGTTATGAGCCTATGAAGAGGGGCTGAGATACACGTCATCTGCCTCTCACCGTGTGGAACTGGTGGATTCGTGTGTCCGTCTACATTCTGTGTGAAACTGACCAATGGACACTCAGAAAATCACTAAACACTGACCATCACGCCGGAAACCCTTCATTCTTCATTCAGTCCACATCGGAGACTCATGTGAAATGGAGTACAGAGAGTTTACAGCTGCTGAAGCTGCTGCAGCGGGTTTGGAAAGTAGTGATGAAGATAACGGAGCATTTAGATATGAAACATATGAGGATCGTGTTATATGAAGAGCCTTTAAAGGAGGATTTAAGGAGATATGAATAAATTGAGAGAATGACCTCAGAGGGTTAATGGCCATTATTTAGATATTCTCATGCTGAGGCCTGATGTTATTACTTTGTAGTCAGCTACGCTCCTGATTCAGGATCAGCTCTGCTCTGTGTGTCTAATTTAAAAAGCAAAAACCTTTGCTTTGATTGGTCTTAAATCTAAGAACTTTGATCTATATAGAAACCAAGGATCAGTGATTATTCTCTAAGAAGTCTGTGCTCCTAATCTGTGTAGAATCAATTTACAGTAATATTACCTCTAAACCGTGAGGCTGTGTTCACTTTCTCCTCAGGTCAGAACTGCTGTGTGAAGACTGTGAATTAAGGATTATGTTTCCTATAATGTCAGAGACTCTGTTCATACCCCTGCGAAAAATGGTATATTGTCAATTACAATTATATTAAATATAGTCAATAAATCTAAAGTTTCTCCTGGTGATATTGTTGTTAGATTAATTTAAGATTGTTTTCCTTTTTTCTAGACATTTATAACTTGTTGTAAGTCATTTTAAGTAAAATTGTCTCATTAAGAATTGAAGAAATGTGCTTGAAACCAGCAACATTATCTGCCAGTATAGTGAGATACACACACACACACACACACACATCATCTAAACTGCTTATCCTTCTGGGTCGCTGTGGGGCAGCTGGAGCCTATCCCAGCTATCATTGGGCGGAAGGCAGGAAACACCCTGGAAAGGTCGCCAGTCCATCGCAGGGCTATAACGAGATAATTTTACTTAATAAAATTTCTTAAAACAAGTGAAAGATGTCTGGAAATAAGCCAGGTAATCTTATAAATCTTAAAATGGGACATTGGAAGTACTTTAAGTACTTTAACTGGCAAATGTGCTGCTAGAAAGTTACTGTAAATTTACAGATTCATTTTTACAGTGGTTTACTTTACTTTACACTGTGTTGTGCTACAAGCAATTCAGGCTGAATTTGAATGGGATTTGCTTCTCCATCATTGCATGATCCAGCAATTTCTGCTGTTATATTGGCCTGATATTGATACTGAGTACTGGATCTGTGCCAGGTTTACAGGCCAGTGTGCTTGGGCACATCGTTCACTCGTCTTCTACATTATGGCCCACAGAGCTCTGCTCTGAGACTATTTACAGCTACAGTGCAGCCCATTACCTCCATCTCCATTGCTTCATTTCAGATTGCAGCCATAGGCTACATTCACAGCAACAGGCCGTCTACTCAACTGGCCTAATGGTGTAACTAAACTGTGACACTAAGGCTGAGGACACGGCCGTGAGTCGCACCAGGACGGCCTTGTTCACTCGTGTGCTTAAAACATATGAGATTACACTGTGCACATTGCAAATATACATGACCCGGCCACTTTATCAGAAATACAGTTAGAGGCTGTAGCTCCATCTGTTGATGCACAGTTTGTGTTAGCCGTTCTCTAGGCCTTCCTCAATGGCCAGTTTCTGACCAGAGAGCTGCCTTTGGCTGGATATTTTTAGGTCTAAACCTACGAGTGAGGTGTGTAAAATACAGTGGCCAGTGCACAGTATAAACTCACTTATAAAGTTTTTATGAAGATTCTGACTTTCACCAATGTTCTCTTATTTGGGACTTGTTCTACACACAGATACTCACATTCAGTAAGTTCATGGTTAACTTGGCTGGCTAGTTAGCCATCTGACACGTCATGGCTGTACTAGCATAGTTAGTCATATCAAATTTTGCTATTTTGAGTTTTACAAGCCACGTTTACATGCAACCTAATAATCCGTTAATAATCTGACTAATAGCCCATTCAGAATAGAATACATCCATGTAAACACCTCAATCAGAATAGTCTAGTCAGATTGAGGCCATTCAGAATACAATTTCTACCCGACTGATCGAGGTGGGTAATCCAGTTAATAATCCGTTAAATAGAAGAATAATATCCACGTAAACGCCTGTATCTGATTACATTCCCTATCGGAAAGTTAAAGTCTGTTCTGATCATGTTCGTCGCGTCATAGTGAGAGTTTATACCATTCAACATGGCGGAGCAGAAACTGGCCTGCAGAGGAGACGAAGTTTATGCTCTGATCTTTAAAAGACGGCGGTGGGACGGACGTCCAGCTTATGTGTCTCAGAACACGACGTCTTCCTCTCGGCCTTCTTTAATAAGGACATGTGAAGGACGTTTTCCTGAGTCTGACATCATTTTAAAGCAATTAAAACCACAAGCACTGCTCACTGCTGCTCATCTCACTCTGACTGGACTCACGTGATGCTGGTTGTCATGGTAACGTCTACACTAAGTGGTTATCTACTCATGCACGTCATTTTGGATCAGATTAC